TGTAATGGAGTAAAACGTACTCCTTGTTTCGCCATTTATCCCAATTTTCTTTGTATTTTGGCTCCTTTGTCAGAAGGAAGCTTTTCAAATTTGGGGCTCTGGAAAGTAAGAAGGTCCCGTATGTGTCACGGCATTCTGGGCGATGATCCACTGACTCAAAAGTGAACTAAAAAATTAAATAAATAGTATCATGTGAAAGTATTACTGAAGTAGGGTTTTCTTTGAAGTCATTTTTTCAATTGTTTAAAAGTAAATCACATAAACGAACCATAACTAACAATCTGGCTGTGTATCCTGGAATCCTGGCCTCAAACTGTCAGACTGTGGGTTTTTGTCGCTAGTACACTCGAATAAGTATACTTCGGTCAGCGGTCAGCGATGAAGATGGCCGCCTCTTTTGGGTTTTACCTCGGTGTAAGAATCTGTGAACTTTTTCTTTGTTTCGCAACTTTTGTTTTTCTAGTTTCTATTGTGTTGGCTTCTTTGTTTTCTTTGTTTTACGTTACCCGTGAGTGTAACAGGTTCTTACACCGAGGATGAGCCCTCTTTTGTACGTAGTTTTGTGTATGTTTTAATGAATAACAAAGCTATAATAGAATAAAAGTCAATCTTGTTATTAAAGGGCCATAATTAGCTTTACTGTACTGTGCCCTTCTCCATACTTAATGTTCTTGCTAACTATATTACTGCGCTTTTCACAAACATGGGAACTCTAAAGTTCAAAAGACGCCTTTACAATTGCGTTTTTCGCTGCCGTCAATCATAATTACGATCACAAGCAACGAACCTTGAAACACAGAAACACAAAACGGATCGAAATCCACCAATCACAAATCACAAACCATGACCTTTTGAACCCGTTAAAGTAAAGCTTTGTTTCCTAAGAGGACGGTTAAGATGATTGACGGCAGCGAAAATCGCAATCGTCAGTTGGCTTTTGAACTTCAGAATTCGCATGTTTTTGAGAAGCACAGTAAGGAGGTCGCGAAAACAGACCAATCCTCCGCGCTTTTTTCGCAGAAGTTTCCGGACATCTCTGCACATTACTTTCTTGGAGCCTAGAACAGCTTGGGGTTCAGCAGCAACCGGTGTTTCCGGTTAGTCTACGACACAAATCGTAACGTGTTAATCAAAGGACCTTCGAATTAACCTTCCTTAGACCAGCCTTTTAGGTTTATCATTGGACCTTGCGAGTCGGCCTCGAGATTTGCGCTATTAACTAAAGCGGTAAATTGTGGTGAGCATATTCATAAAATTGTTCATGTCTCTTTACAGTGGCGGATCCAGGGGAGGGACACGGGCGACCCGACCCTCCCTTATTTTTAGACCAAAATGAGGCCCGAAGGGCCGAAAAAAATTTTTTTTGAGGCTGCCCCCCTTTATCTCAGGGTCTGGATGACCCCCCCCCCCCCTTACTTATCTGAAGGTCTGGTTCCGCCACTGCTTTATCACAAAAAGTTTCAATTTTCAAGTATGGGGAATGGATTGATCGGTTGTTCATATCATTTCGTGTTTTGTAAACAGCCATGGATTGGAATGCTAACAATACTCAATCAATGGAACTAAAATCCTTTCCCAAGGCAAAGAATGCAAAAAAGTTAGTTAAATACCCCCAAAACCAAGATTTCTTAAGGTCACTCTATAGAAAGTATTAAGAAGGAAGAGAAATCTCTTTATCATTTGTATCATCCAAAGTTTCTAGTTCTTGCCTGATATTAAGCGAACAACGTTCGATTGCATTTATTTTGGAAAATACATATTGTTCGAGATGACTTATCACGAACAAAAAAATAAAATATTCACAGTTATTGAAGCATATTAAATGTTTCTTGGCTGGCTACTTTCCATTTCCATAAAGAAGGCTATCCCTCATTGACTGACTGCGTACTCAACCTAGACTTTGATAAACCGGCTGCTGCATTAATGCCAGTGTTGAAATAGCTGATACCTCAGCAACGTTATGTAAGTAGCCACTTGATGTATGTAATAGTTCAACCTTCGTTGGATTGAATTTCTTGGCCCTTTAATAATTCAAGGCATGTTTATGCCATGCAAGCCAGGTCTTCGGCTAGGTCTTATTTGTATAAGGCTCGTTAATCGACATTAGGAGGAAACAACTAAGCAACAAGTAATTGTGTTTTCGGTACAACGAATATCGTAAGGTGTAGATCAACGAACCATCCACACATATAAAATGTGTTAAACCAATGGTTTGCACTAGATTCGCCACGAAAGTTTATTGACAAAGGTATTTATTGCCTGAGAGTAACTGAACCGTGTGAATCGGCCCTGAGATATGCACTGAATGTAGAAACTTCAAACTTATGCCTTAATCTAGAGACAAAAATGATTCAAAAGTGAACCGAAACTTAGAGCTTTATTATTATTATTAGGATTCACATCAAATTTGCAACCGGAAAAACTATAAATATTCATGGGCTTATATACAGAGAATAAGTCAGTTAGTCGTGAAGAAGCGGGTAAATCTGCATAATTATTTGCTGATGTGTTTTTTTTATACATCAAATTTGCAACCGGAAAAACTACAAATATTCATGGGCTTATATACAGAGAATAAGTCAGTTAGTCGTGAAGAAGCGGGTAAATCTGCATAATTATTTGCCGATGTGTTTGCACTGGGATGTAACTTTTGTTCCAAATCTGATTGCTATTCACATCTTCTATCTCCTGATTTATTCCCTGTTAAAAGGTAGGTGAGTCCAATTTGCCGCGACTAAATTTCTGGTAAATCCAGTTTTTATGTAAAAAGAACATTTATTCGTTGTAGAGCTCGGGAACAAATCTGAAAAAAACAACTGTATAATTTATTGGCCAGCAGCAGACTAGTGAGGCGAAACCACACAGAAAAATTAGAGGAATTTTTGTTCCTCAAAAAAAATTCCAGGGTTCTTGCTCGTTTTACTATGGCTGTGATCATACTACAAAGTTAAATCACGATTAAGCAATTAAATGTACAACCCAAAGATGTTCATTCTCAGATCGTGATGGATCGAGATCAACCACTGAGACACAGCAGGGGCATTTAGTCGTGTCGGGAGAAACGGCAGGACGAAAGTTTTCAAGGATAATAATCCAAAAACCGGCGTACTTCCTCTCTCCGGCGCAGAGGCTTCCGCTAGGTATCCCAATAAAAATAAAAATAATCGAAAAATAGATAGCGCGCGGGGGACGATGGGAAGAGGGGAAAAGTGGGCCTCGCTTCCTCTCTTTTTCCTTCCCATCGTCCCCCGCGCGCTTTCTTTTTTTCCCTCTCGCCAGCCTCCCTAAGGCACAAAGAGGCCTCTGAGGCAGTTTTCCAGAAACGTAAAATGATCCGAGGAGAGATGGGTACATCAGTTATCTAAATATCCATCAAAATCCCTGAGTTGCGATCAAGGGGAGGGGCCTGGACGAACGTCTATTTTCTTCCTTCCCCACCCCATCCCACTGTGCTAGCGGTCAATGAATCACCCGCGATTTAATATATTCTTCCACACGCTCGACGGTCTTTTAAGAGGTAGACTTCGCCTCAAGTAAGGGAACCCGGGAAATGTTTTGCTTGCAAATTCCGGAATCCTGGTCTTTGGAATCCGAAATACATCTTAAGGAATCCGGATCCCACTAACGACTGGAATCCGGAATCAGAGTTCCAGTGACAAAGAATCCGGAATCTATGGAATGGAATCCAGAATCAAAGACTGTCTTGGATTCCCTTACAGGGGGCGATACACTGTTTACAGTCCTCTTTTTTTCACTTAAGATCGTCGCGCGAGATCCAGCACTCACTGTCACTGGGAGCCATTTATTAATTGGTTTCAAAATGTACCAAGGGGGCGGGCGTCGAGGTTTACAGCGGTAAAAACTTGATAGTCATCTTTAAGTTATACTGCGCGCTTTTGATCATATTTGCTTGGAAAAGGCGCGTTATAATTAAAATTTGATAGTCATTTTTAAGTTATACTGCGCTCTTTTGATCATATTTGCTTGGAAAAGGCGCGTTATAATTTTTAATTATTATTATTATTACTCGGTCAAGATGGTCTCCCGGTAGCGCTATTTCTCGAGCATCTTCCGAGAAAATAGCGAACTGTAACCAGTGTATTGAAGAGAAATGATAGGTCTTTAAACATGCTGGGCTTACTTTAAAATCTTGTTTTCAGTTTAGAAGGTCTAGAGGAAAAGCTATTTCAACACGCTATAACCAGTTGCAATAATACTTGGGACACTACATCTAATTATTATCCCACCTCCTTCCCTTGTCAAAGTTCAGTAGCAATTAAAAACCGTGAAAACAGCTTTGAACAGAGGGAAGGGAGGAAGCGAGTGTTGTATCTTACAGATGTGTGACCAGCAGCGATTTGAAGTAAACAAGTCTGGCTTTTCGCCTTAGAGTATCAACAGTTTTGCAAATGGTTGTAGCGTTTCATGATTCATATACAACTCTCTAAGTTCTTAAAACGGACCGACACCTCTACAAGATGGACACCTGGTTAAAATGGACACACAAACGTGCTTTTTCCTGACTTTCTTTACTCTTTTTAGTCGACTCTGTTTAAAGGCCGATTTAGACGGTGACGATTTTTGCTTACGACTGTCGTGCGCAACTAGCATACGTCATCACTTTCGACCATCCACCCGCGCACAACTTTCACTAATGACATCCACATATGTGTCGTACGGATGTCGTGGGTCATGACGTATGTTAGTCGCCCACGACAGTCGTATGCAAAAATCGTACCGTCTAAATCGGCCTTAGACAGACGCAAAAAGCCGGTCCTTGCCTTTCTTAACTTCTTTTTAAGGATCTAATAATTTTTTTTTCCTATTTATCGAAAATGTATGCACATGTTATTTTTTTCTGACTTTATAATGTCGTCCGAGAATGTCGAATCGTCGTCATGATGTTTTTAAACGCTTTTTTTAAAAAATACTTTAAGTGGTTTTAAGTTACATTTTATCACAGTTTTTTATATTCAAATTTTTCTTTGCTAAAACACAGGATGGAAAACAAGGGCTACGAGTCGATAAAAACTGACGATAAAGACTTGGAAAACAATGGCCGGCATCCTGCTGATTCTGCAAATTTTCTTTCACTTTTGACCTGCTGGTGGATGAATGGCATATTCAGAACAGGAAACAAACGGCCATTAGAGCAGTCTGATTTCCTGCCACTTAACGAAGAAGACAAAACAAAAGTTCAAACAGAAAAACTTCAAGAGCAATGGGATAAGCATGTACGCGAATGTAGTATCACCCCTGGTAAACAGCCAAAGCTTTGGAAATGTGTTCTAAAGATTTTATCCTTTAAAGAGGTTTCATTTTTGCTAAGTTTCTGGTTTATAGAGTCAGTCTTCCGTATTACGCTTCCTCTTGCTCTTGGCCTACTACTTGCATCGATACATTCTACAGAAAGGAATCAGCCTCTTGTGGTTGGTTGCTGTTTATTTATTGGAATCGCAGGAGTATTATCCGCTACCACCCATTACGCTGGTTTTAGATGTGATCTTCTGGGCATGCGCTTGAGTAGTGCTCTCAAAGGGATTGTTTATCGCAAGGTAAAGGACCTCTGATGGATTTTTTTTGTTGTTGTATTGTTAATGTTGTTTACCTTTTTGCTGTTACAATCACCAGAATCTTAACTTCTTTCGCGATAGAGCGGTTTTCGTTTGACCCATTGAAACTGACTACGCAAGAAAAACTGAAACAGAAAGCGAACAAGAATATAAGAACTTGATTAGTTAAGTGAACATACTCAGGCTATGTTTACACTATATCGCACTGTGCCGACACGATTTCGGTTTTCAAAGAAGTTCGCAAACCTTGATTGTGACGTTACGTCAAATCGTGCCGAGTGATGCTTAGTACACCAAAAAGGACTGAAGTAGAGAAACCTTAATTAAAATTCTCCAGTTAAGCGAACGCAAGGGAACCTAAAAAAAGAAAAGAAAGAATATCAAGAAAAATTAGGTAGAAATTAATTACAAATGCTCTGTATAACGTGAAATTCTCTTGTCATTTAAGCGAGGTTATGTTAAAAACAATATCAACGGAAAACTATCACCTTGGTATACTACGTCACACTTATTACGTTTTAAGTTTCACTCAATCTCACAGAATGCATTTATTTTTAGAAAGCTTAAATGTTTTGAACCGCTCTCATGGCAAAGAAAATGTGCTTAATATTCAGAACTGACAGCCGGGTTTGCTGACAAGATGACTTTTAATTTTTTTGCAGATTCATTTACTAACCCAGCAAAGCCTCCTGAAAGCAACAACGGGCAACCTTATTGACCTCATATCAAACGACGTCCAAAGAATCGAACTGACCACCAGATGGATTTTTTGCTCTTTCTTCTTTGCTTTAGAATTTACAGTTGTCATTGTTTTATTGCTGCACCTCATTGGCTGGCCAGCATTAATGGGAGTTCTGTTTCTAGTGGCGATGCTTCTCTGTGTCTTGATAATTTCATTTATCTGTGCTGGGATGCGCGTGGAAACTGCTGAGGCATCGGACAGGCGTCTTTTGTTAATGAATGAGCTCGTGACTGGTATACGTGCTCTAAAAACACATGCGTGGGAAGAATATTATCAAGAAAAAGTGAAGGCTGCGAGAAGGTGAGTATAAAGTTACGCTATGTTTACATTATAGCGGATTGCTTTTTGTGCCGACCCAACTGAAAAATTATCCGGCATATATAGTATGAACAGCAACGACACAGAACTGCAAAAAGTCGTTCACACACGTTGAACACTGTGCCGGAGCGGTTTGCCAGGAGAGTTTGAGGGACTAAATCCCAGATCTCACTTCTGCAGATCATTTACTTCCGTTTCAGTGGGTTCCACTCTTCGGGCCTACTTATTCACTTCCGCGACGGTCCGAATAGGTGGTCATACTGCACCAAAGTATGGCACAGAACCCCTCCGCTATGTGACGTCACTCCACTTTCGAGATCGGCACGGCGAAGCTTCGATCCGTCACAGAAATCGCGCCGAAATCATTGCCGTTCTTGTGTGTAAACAAAAGCCCTGTCCAGTATGATTTTCATGGAGGCGCAAAAGTTGACCAGTATAGTGTGAACAAAGCCTTAATTCAACCTTACAGTTATTTGTTCCAAGAATCCTCTCTACTCGCCATCCCTCTCTTGCTCCGGCGGACAAGTAGGAGAGGACCCTGGGAACGAGGCTGATCACACAGAATAGCAACATGCAAACTTTTCATTGAATTATCTGCGTTGATGTTCCATTATGTTAAATACAGTCAGAATATCCAATGCCAATGTACATATTTATTCAGACGTTGTATTCTGTATTATCACTGCTTAGCTTAACTCCTTTCATCGTTATTTGTCAATCGTTAAAGCACATCCCTTTGCTTAGAAAATCACTTGAAGCCTTTTACAACACATTCTTGACATCTAGTTTAGCTACCTTTAAGCATTACTTAGTCAATAGCAGCAGTGCCTGTTCTCCAGGCAATTAATTGTGAGGTATTTGTAATATGTGGGGTATTTTAATCCACTGGTGGGGTATTTGATTTTAATTTTCGCACTAGCTTGTATTTGCTCAAGATATGCTCTCTATAAGCTAATATTGTGCTGTTCGTATCAAAAAAAACTTTGCCCGCAGTATATTTCTATTTAGTATATACTGAAACAGTGGATAGTGTTTTTCGCGCGCTCTGATTGGCTACTCAATCAGTGAATATCCTGCACTATTCACTGATTCACCTCCAGTTCCTCCGAGCGAGCGAGCGTTGCCAAACTCGCGTAGGTTGCGAGCAAAATGCCTTCCCGTTTGCTGCCGTAACGAACTAAGAAATTTCACAACTAATCAAGCAAGCTATTTCCGAAATACATGAAGAAGGTGACAAATTTCGGTTTGGAAGTTTTAACAGGTAAAACTTTGTCTTTTTTACTTGAATTTATCGATAAATCCGGTGAAAAAGTTTTTTGTTTACAAATGCAAATTAAGCTTATAAGTCTTGCGTTACTTTATTTAGTTGACTTGCTCATAAATAAGCTTAAAACTAAATTTAATAATCTTTTTTACACAATTATTTTAAATACAAAAAGAATTCACAACTCCTTTTGAAGAAACTTTCCCGCAAGAGCTAAACAAACGCCTTCAAAAGTTTTATTTGTCGCTAAGAAAAAGCGACGACCTCGGCCGTTCGGTCATCGCGCACAAAATTGTAATCGTTGGCAACAGTAAATGAGTTAAAAATCATCATTTTTGTGCTCAATTATCTCACTGTTTTAGTGTATACTAAAACAATTATTCACCTCAGTGTCGATGGCTAGTATTGGATATTTACCTCGCCGCTTCGCGGCCTCGGTAAATATCCAATACTAGCCACCTCCACTTCGGTGAATAATTGTTATATATTCCAAAATATACCAAAGATTTTCTTATTATTCCTGTCTTGAGCAGGCCTTTATACACTCAATAATTAATCCCAGTCAGTAAAAAATTCATCTACAACTGAGAAACCATAACCAAACTTTCTTTCTTTTACCTTCTAGAGCTGAAATATGGATTATTATGAAAAAGAGCACCCTGTTATCTATCATAGATGGTGTTTGTTTTACGGCGGCCAGTGCAGCAGCGTTCCTTTCAGTTTTAGCCATTATTTTAACAGGCCAGTTCATTTCGAGGCCCACAGCTTTTATGCTGCTTGCCTTTATGTTTGCTCTAGAAAAGATGGTGTTAAACAGGCTATCAACCTCTCTTCCTTTACTACTTGAGTTGCCTTCTACCCTCCAGAGGATCGAGCGCTTTCTTTTAATGAACGAAATTCCCTTAACACAACTCGAATACAATCGGAGTTCTTTTGGACGAGAGAGTTGTCCTGGATTGGCGCCGTCGATGGAGTCTTTCGCAGACGATCATCGGACTGTTAAAATTGTTAGCTCTGAAAACAAGGATGAGAAAATAGATTTCACTTTATCAGTTTCTGGTCTAACGTGCATAGTGAATAGCCTTGGTGAAAAGTTTCTTCTTCAAGATGTAAGTTTTGCTGCGACCAAAAACAGCCTCACCGTGATCACTGGTCAAGTAGGCAGTGGAAAGTCAACTCTTTTGGCCACAATCGCGGGAGAGGTAATAATAACAAGTGGTAGCGTAGTCTGTCCCGGAACTTTAGCTTATGTGCCACAATCGGCGTGGGTTTTCTCTGGGACCGTCAGAGAAAACGTCCTATTTGGTGAGCCTTACAATGAAGAGTGGTATACTAAAGTTTTAGAGGCATGTGCTCTAATCGAAGACATCAACAGATTTCCCAGTGGCGACAGTACCTTTGTCGGAGAACATGGTATCGTGTTGAGTGGAGGTCAGCTTGCCCGTGTCAATCTTGCACGCGCAGTGTACGCAGATCCAGACGTTTATCTACTGGATGATCCTTTAAGAGCTGTGGATGTTAGAGTAGGTGAACACATATTTGAACAGTGTATCTCTAAGCTTCTACGAGACAAAATTAAAGTATTGGTGACACACGAAAAGAGGTACATGGTGGCAGCTGATCAAGTTTTGGTCCTTTACAACGGGTCAGTAATAAGGAAAGGCAGTTTTAGTGAACAGTCAGATGCAGAGCAAATTCTAGATACTATCAGAGATGTATCAGTCGCCGCAAAAGAAGACAAAAAGAGTTTTGGAGAAAGAGATGAAAATGGCACGTCACAAATGCGTTTCAGAGGCGTCCGTGATGGATCTGACGAAACTTTGGAGATCTCAGAAGAAGAAAGAGCCACTGGATTAGTCTCTCCTGTTTTGTACTGGAATTACATTCGAACTGGAATAACTACATTGGGCGTGACTCTTTTGATTTTACTTTGCCTGGTGATCCAAGGTGAGTAAGCGTTTTTGTGGTGTGCGTGCATGTAAGATTATTGCATAAATTATGAAATAATCATGCACTCTTGCGACCATATAATAGCGGGGAAAGGCGTTATAAGTACTTCATATAGTATTAATTATCACGTAATGGGTATAATGGGTGTTAATGTAGAATGGGTAATCAGTCAATTTTTGATCGCTATCTTTCTGAAGGAGCGAAAATTACCATTATGATATTTGATTCTTGTGCATGGGTGGCCTAAGTTTACGACCAAGTATATTTGAGAACGAAATGGTGGTGAAAAAAAGGTCTTCTTTGCGACAAAGTTTTCTAAGGACTCCAATAATGCAGGACTAAGTGCTGTTTTTGTTAGGGTGGGTCGATGATTCATAGTTTGCTATGTGTTGCGATTTTTTGAAGATGTGTACATACGATGAAATAGAAGAACGCTCTTATAAGTCTCTCTTGCTTGGAGATTAGATAAGAAATGAGGAGGCGATTAATTCTACACGAAACAGGATTTCCTCGCTAAACGTTTTTACGTCCTACTTTATCGACGGTCGAGTATTCTTCAGGATATTTACTTTTGCATCGTATTTGACGATTTGTTTCTGAATTGATTGAGTACGCGACTATGAATACATGAAAATCAAGGGCCTCGATTCGAGAGAAATTATATCATTGCCAGAGAGCAAAAACGTGATGAACATCACTCTGAACATGGCGTGTCGTTTCAATCATCGTCGAAAATAAACGGCATGCCCATCACAAGACTCATTGCATACAATGAACGTTTACAACACCCGACCAATTAGCCTCACCATCGACGTTTTGCTCATTAAAGTATTCAGTCACTTGTTCCAATGTAATCAGCACTTTCAAGCGACAGAATTCGTGGACCGATCCGTTTCGGAAAAGCTCTGCATTTCCGCATTAATCTTTCCCAAGTTTTCTTCACAAAACAACGGTCACGCTGATCACCAGCTTCCACAGTCTCTGTTAGGAACGCCTAGGGCCATGACTTTCTTTTTGGCGCGCACACACGAAAAAAAAAAGAAAGAAAGAAAGAAAAAAAAAAGAAACGCCCGCATTTTTAGAGTCTCTTGTTTTCTCGGTGGAGCGCCACGCCTCTAATTTGATTTTCCGAATTATTTTATTAAACTTCCTATTTGAGAATGACAGCCTTGCAAAGTCGTTCTTTCCTTTGTCAGTTACTATCCGTTTTTTATTCAGGTTCTTGGGAGTTGTTTGGGCGGGGGCAAAAGTGGACTGTTTTACTTTTTCCCTCACGGCGTGTGGTCCTGAGGAAGGGGACGATAACTCGCTGTCTCGGGAAAAAGTACAGTCATGGCTATGTTTCCCTCTGCAAAAGTGAATTGGCCGCAGTTGAGGCTATTGATTTGAGCATTTAAGTCTGGGATAGGGTATATAAAAAAGTGAGTCACGTTTTTTTTTCTTTCCGCTTCTTAAGTTCTTTTGTTTACATTGTAGGTGTTATGTTATTGCCAGAAATCTGGTTATCTTTTTTGACGCGGATGTCCTGGAAAAACCAACAAGATGAAACAACACTACAGGTTTACGCCAGCCTCGTGGCCGCTTCCTTCTTTTCCGGTATAATACGCGCTAATCTTTTGTACAATGCATTACTCAGGTCAGCCAGACAACTGCACGATAAAATGGTCTCATGTCTCCTTCGGGCTCCAGTTCTATTTTTCGATACAAATCCTGCTGGACGCATACTCAATAGGTGCTCCAAAGACATCGGCCATATTGACGAACTTCTACCCAAAATGTTTTTACATGTCATCCGAAATTCGTTGGTCCTCCTTGCCTCAATATTGCTGCCTTCGTTCTTGAACTTTTGGCTGTGTCTGGTTACCATTCCATTTATAGCTGCTTGTCTCTACCTCACACGGTATTACTTGAATACATCACGAGAGCTCAAGAGACTGGAGTCAATCTGCCGCAGTCCTGTTTTCTCGCACTTCTCGGAGACCATGGCCGGTTTGAGCACGATTCGAACCCGGAAAAAGGAAAGAGATTTTATAGAGCAGTTTTACCGGTAAGTATTTTACAGCTGCTTTTACATTTCATGTTATTCGGAAACGTCACGTAATGACAGGCAATTTGCGAAAATGCAAAATTCGACAAAATGTACTGAAATACTTCAAATCGTAAAATACTGTGTCAGATAAATAATGAACATTCATATCATAATTTTTGAGTGATTATTTGTTGTTTTGTGGTGCTTTCATACTGCTGTTCTTTGCACACCGCTGTCACCGAACTAACACTCGAAACAATCACACACTGAAAGTGCCCATCACCTAAAATTTAATATTTTCTTATCTGAAACTACACCTCCATGGACCTAAAGAGCTAACAAACATGAGAAAATACTTCTTATGGCTATGAAAAAGACAAGTCTAGAAACCTTCATTCATCTTAACAAAACAGTACACTCACAGAAGTTTCAAAAAGAGTTAAAGTATTTTAAACTAGGTATGTGAAAAGGGTACCAAAGTCAGTGCAGGATCCAGACCTTGAGGTAAGATTTGGCCTAAAAATAAGGGGGAGGGTCCCGAGACCCCTGGTTCCCTGGTTCCGCCACTACCAAAGTGGTAGAATCTAAAACTTAAGGGGTTGTTTGCTTGCCTCCAGCAAGATGAGAGAGGCAAGCAAACAACTTTTGGGGGCAAAACTTATCGAAATCACAAGAGTCTGGAAGGTTTAAGGTAAATGAACATTATTTCTTTGGCCAGTACAGTGCATTTCGATTTTGGATCAAAAGACACAAAATTTCTTATGTTAGGGCGGATTTTGAGAAATCAATAAAATCAACTGCCAGACCACTGGTTTTATATGCACTTTTGGGCTATGATCTGTTACGTTAATATATACATGTGTTACTATCTTTTTTTCTATTTGGTTTTATTTTCTCGCACCGGAAAATTTTTTTATCTCTAGACATCAAGACCTGCATAACCAATCGTTTTACATGGTATCAGCGTGTACTAACTGGGTTGGAGTCAGAGCTGATTGCCTGTTTACCGTATTAACAACTGCAGCAGCCTTTGGGTTTTCTTTTCTCGACCAAGATCAAGGTAAGGACAATATCGGGCATCTTACGACGGGAAATTGTTACTCCAGTTTTACGACAGGCTTTCTGCGCGGAGACAAGTGCGATGATAAAGACCTTAGCTGAATATATAGCAACGATGGAAAGCTACTAACACTTAAATGCATCCGCTTTCTATAACACGTATTACCAGTTCTGCAACTCGCAGAAAAAATCCTGTCTGAAAATTTTTGTATATACTTTACAGCTTTACTGCTTAATTCTTCATATCGTACGAAAGCCGAATCATTAATTGCTTTATTATTCATTCAAAATAATTCCTAGTTTAAAAACATAGCTGAAACATGCTAACCTGCATCGATGTTAAGTTCATCTTCGATACTGTACGTTTAGGTTTGTCCAGCCCCGCAAATATTCTCCAAATAGCAGATGTTGCCCTCCGAGTTGTCTTCTTGCTGTTTTTGCCATGTTTTTAGCTATTATTTCGCCTAGTTCCAGTTCTTTCTCTTGAAACGAGTGAAATGTCCCCCATTTTTTTTTTCACAACCAAAACAACTCAACCTCCTCCCCAGGTCTTCATGGTAACGGTGCCTTAACCTGTAGAGAGCTGCATTTTTGACGTTATTTCCTCGTTAAACACAAAATTCTTCCAAATTTGGTCATTAGTAACAGGTTATGGTGAATTATGCGTGTGCTTTTAACCAATCGGAATTGGGGAAATATTTTGAATGAATAATAATGATGTTTATCCAAATTCACTTGCAGCATTTACTGGTCTTGTCCTGGCGTACGCCATCAACATTGGAAAGATGTGCCAACTTGCTGTGCGCCAATTTGCAGACGTTGAGGACGCCATGACGTCTGTCGAGCGAGTCATGGCTTACGCCAATCTCAAACCTGAGCCAGGGTACAACATCAAAGCATTTCCGCCCGTCCACTGGCCAAACGCTGGCAACCTGAGTTTTAGTGATGTTTCTTTGAGGTATTACCCAGGTGGTCCACAAGTTTTGAAACATTTATCTTTTGATATTGGAAAGAAGCTGAAGTTAGGAATTGTTGGTCGCACCGGAGATGGAAAATCGTCAATTGTGGCAGCTCTTTTACGCATGCCTGAGGCTGACGGAGAGATATTCATCGATGGCGTCTCCATAAAAGGCATTCAACTGCAGGAGTCGCGAAAATGTGTTTCAGTGCTCAGCCAATCACCTGTCCTCTTAAGTGGAACAATAAGAAAAAATCTTGATCCTCTGCAGAAGCACAGGGATGACGAACTATGGAACGCCCTTGAAGTGGTAACAATAAAAAATTTGGTTAAAAACCTGGAAGGGCAACTTGACTACGAGCTTTTAGAGAGAGGCGAGAACCTTAGTGTAGGTGAACGCCAGTTAATCTGCTTAGCTCGCACGCTACTGCAGCAGAGTAAAATCGTCATCTTAGATGAGCCAACGGCGTCTGTCGATCCTAAGACAGAGCAAATAATCTGGACCACCGTGCACGAGAAACTGAAGAATTCCACTGTGATCACTATAGCTCACCGAATGAACACTGTCCAAGATTGTGACATAATTCTAGTATTAAAAAAAGGCCAGATCGCTGAGATGGACACCATTGATACCCTGCTTGGACAAGAAGATGGGATTTTTTACAGCATGGCCGCTTCCCAAAACTTATTACATGAATAGCCCTTTAATGAGTTTTTTTTTCATTTATCGTTCTTCAGCACTGCTTCGATTCAGCTCTTGGACATGCATTTTGAGAAGCGGTGAATAACACTAGGTTCAATTGACCACCTAATTCAATAAGGTGTGTGGGAGACCTCTTCAGTTGATCTGATGACTGGAAACAAGTGGAATGGTTCAAACCGTTTTTCACTATTGCAGGATGCTACCCCGAGTAATGGGGGTTCCCCCGTGGACTGACTCCTGACCCCCTGAATTAGGGTGAGGGTGTGCGTCATGCTTTCTAAAGCCTTTACCCTATTTGTATAGGTAATAGCATGAATTAAAGTGATATTTGGTATTTAGTAGAATGCAACTAGTGGTCTATTATCAATGCTGGGTTCTGATTGGCTGAGCTGACTCAGAGCCCATTCGGGCTCGATGAATAATTGTTAAAAATACCACGAGTGATATTTCGCAATTATTATACGTAATTTCGCAAGCCAGTAGGCGAGTGAAATTTGAGACAATTTTGAAGTATCACAAGTGGTATTTATGCCAAATATCACGTACAAATCATGCTATTATTTGTTTATACTACTACCCACAAAAGGTTTGTAATTTTCACATGTAGGTATTTCAAATTTAGCTGAAATACCACACTGCTCTGAGCCAATCAAATTGCAGAAATTTCTCATGTAGTAGTATAATAGATCTAAATATTAAGTGACTTTGCCTAACGTAATCCACTCCCGAGCTTAAAGGTTATTTTCTTAAAAATTTTACAGTCTTACTCAGTGAAGAAGTCTTTCATGGAAATAGAATAAGAGAGAAAACGACACATAGGACCAGTATCCAATAGCTTTTGGTCAGATAATATAAAGATAAGGTTCAGACGTCCCATAGACGGAGTAGCTTTTTCTTATGATCTAGTGAAAAAAGCGTTCCGATTCCGCTTACGACTCCGTCGCTTATGTTCCGCCCCCTGGGGGAGGGGGGTACTCCCATACATTACCTATACGGGTATGTGCCGCCCAACGGGGTCGTGATTTTGAAGCTCCTGATTTAGAACGGGGCATCCATTTTCAGAGGTGTTTTCTAGAACAGGGTATAATATTTCGAACGCACGAAAGCTCCAGTTTTGTAAGCAGCCATTTGAAATTATTCAAGGACAGACTGCTTTTAAAAATACGGTTGAATGCGTTAACAAGCAAACTGTTGTACTCTTGTTGCACCCTGTGTTTCAGCGAGCCGGGGGAGGGGCGTATTTTGGCGCGAGCCGCAAGCGCTGACTCCGCCATCTTGGCCCATTTCTAGAACGGGGTATCAGTTTTAGTGCGAATTCTGGAACGGCGTATAAAAAATTGGCCCATTTCTAGAACGGGGTATAGGGGAATTTTTTTGTAGAACGGGGTGCCAATTTGGAGTCCCGAGCGGCACATACCTACCCAAAAAATATCCAAGTCCCCCCCCCCCCCGGGCGTTCCGCTTATGACCTATAGCGAAAACCAGATTGTCGGAGTCGGAAGCAGAAGAGCCAAATCAATCACAAAGCGTGGGAACGTGCATTGTCATTGGTTTATCCTTCCGCTTCTGCTTCCGACTCCGACAATTTGGTTTTCACTAGATCCTAAGCGGAACGTAAGCGACGGAGTCGGAAGAAATGGAAACGTTCTGATTCTTCTGACTCCGATTCCGTCGCGCATATGACTCCGCTTACGACTCCGATTTTTGATTTTCACTAGGTCACTTTGCAACTTTCCAAAGTAAATATTGATAGCCTTACCGTAGGAAGCATTGACGTTGCTCCTGTCACTGTGGCAAGAAATTTAGGGACATAGTTCGATTCTAACTTGAATCTCCAGGAAGAGATCCACAAAACTTGCAAATCTGGGTTTTTCCATTTATACAATATTCGGCGTATCCGAAAGTATCTGTCCCAGGAATCTGCACGAACTTTGGTCCATGCTTTTATCATTGGTCGTATAGATTACTGCAACAGCCCTCTATTGGTTTACCCTCTGTTCACCTACTTAAACCGCAACGTTTGCAGAATGCAGCTGTTCGGGTTATATCTAACGTTTCTCGCTACAGTCACGTACCACCAGTACTATGTTCGTTACATTGGCTCCCTGTCAAATTTCGTATTGATTTTAAAATACTTGTCATGCACCTGGTTACTTGATTGGTTTGATTGCAATTAAAGAACAGCCGCGCTATAATCTCCGCTCAGCTAGCGGTCTTATCTTGAAGTATCCTAGTTTAAAACTGAAAAAGACTTTCGGGGATCGTGCTTTTTCATCTGCTGCCTGTATAGTAAGTTATGGAACAATCTGCCCTTCACATCCGTCTTGAAGACAGTTTTGAAAGTTTTAAATCTTAACTTAAAACGTTTCTTTTCTAGCTTTTGATATGTAATGTTTTTAACCTACTATGAATATACCGGTACTTAGTGTATTTATCTTTATTTAATTTTTAGCGTTGTTTACTTTTAGCCTCAATTATTATGCTCATTTTAGCTTATATTTTCTTTTAACAGTTACGCCTTGTCACGCTCTTTTGACCATATTTGTATGGAAAAGACGCGTTATAAATTTTTAATTATTAGTATTATATTATTATTAATATTATTAGATAAAATTAGGAGATGTGACAATTTGATTCATTTATGGCACGGAATATTGTTCTTTTTAAGGGTCCTTAAAACATGTGAACATGTCAAAATTTGAAGTGAAATTGCTGTCTCTCCAAAATAATTATAAGAAGTACAGAATCAAAGCTGGAAAGCTGAAAGCTGCCGATCTCATTAAATAAATTGTAAAAAGAACATCCAGTTCTAAACCCTCAGGCTACAGAAATATTTCAGAACGAGAAATTGTTCGTCTTTAAATCTCAATAAACAACATTTTGCGAAAAACACAGTTGTAATTTTCCCCAGAACGTCTTCAAGAAATAATCTCCCGGATTTTTATGTCTGTAGGGACGAAATCGCGTGAGCAACTCGTAGATTCTGGCCAATTGTAGATTATGTTATTTTGTGTTTATCAATGTTAGTTTTTAAAGGTCCGCAAGGGTAACTGACATAGTCTGAATCACACAAGTTATACGTTGACGGTTTTGCTTTCTAGTGCCAGCTTAAATATCTTAGATGGGCTAACTCTTCTTCTGAAGACGTCGAATATGTAGAAAAACACATGTAGATCACATTTGACTATAAATAAAAAAATGTCTAAAATGGATCGCAGTGAGAGAAATTCAAGTCCTTATATATTGGAACAAAATGCTGCTTTGATTGGTATTTGTTTTATTTTTCAACGCTTCATCTTTATCCAAGACAGGCAGTTGCTCTTTCTGATCTCAAATTTAGCGGTCAAGATGCCTCAACCGGTCTTTTAAACATTTTTATGAGAAGACAATCGTGTAGGTCAGTATATTACGGAAATAAAACGCAATCTTGGACAACAAACAGAGAGAATAGGCCAATGGAATGCTATAGTCATTTTATTTCACTCTTGCACTAAGTCTAGCTACTCCAGAAAACAAGTGTGAACAGTAGGCCAACTTGCAACGAAATGGATTATTCTTCTGTCTTACTCATGATTCTTGTGGTACCATTTATCAGCGTCTGTATGATCCTGACAAATGAATTAAGAAAATAAGTTTCATGATAACATTTTGTAACGAAGCAGATGTGAAAGGAGATGACAAAATAGGCATGCCTACAACCTTGCTTTAAAGTCTTAGGACACTTTAGAAAATTTGGCTCAAAGACACACTTTGCAAAATCAACTCGTGTTTTTTAAAAATTTGGTAATTTTGTTATAAGAGCTTATTTCTGCTGCCCCCCTCTCCCCCAAGCAATGTCGATTGTTTTAAAACAAGACTTGAACGAATAACAACAACACTGCACCGGGGGGATGGGAAGAGGTAAGGCCCCCCCCTCCCCTGTTTCTTGGAAAATAGAAAGGCATACTTAGATAAGAGTCTCCAAGCCTCCACATTTAGTCCCACCCCTCCCCCCCCGCTCAGAAACATCTTAATGCATCACTTTAGATCTCACTGTGGTTTCATTGGATTTGCTAACGTACCTCTACAGAAAACGCTCATGCAAGTTCTTGTAAGAACTTATCCGTCCATCTTGCCAGCAACGCTTTAAAATCTGAAACAAATTATTTATTTAGCTAATTTTTTTGAGCATAAGTTTATGCAATAGGAAATGCAGGTCAGCGTGGCCGAGTGATATGCGTGTCGCACTCGCAATCCGGCGAGCTCGCATTCGATACCCGCTCTGGCCATTTGCTGGATTTGTTCTCTTTCGCCCCAAGTTCAAATCCTCGGCTAACTGGTTGCCTCCTGCCAGTTATATTTGGATCTGGATTATTCTTATTTTTTTAATCTTTCCAGTGGAGTTTCTGTAAGTTGATTTATTTGGTCGCGTTCGCCTCTAGTTCAAATCATAGGCTAACTGATTGCCTCCTGCCATTTATATTCGGATCTGGTTTATTCTTATTTTTCTAATCTTTCCAGTGGAGTTTCTGTGAACTAGTTAGATAAGTTAGTGCACTGATATCTCCATAATTCTTTAATAATTCAATAATTGTTTCATTGAAACAAGACAAATGTTCCGCAATTTTGTATCACTACCGAAATGTAACTCAACCTCATCCCCAGGTTTTTTCGGTTAATTTTTCAATAATCTGGCAATTTGCTGCTCGATTGACGTCATCAGTTCACACATCGCAAACTTCGTCCAAATTTGGTGGACAGTAGCTGGTTATGAAGGATTATGCGTGGAATTTTAGCCAATCAGAAATGGCGAAATATTTTGAGTGAATACTAATTAGCAATTATTCAATTCGGCTTTCGTATCATCTCAAGAATTATGGCGATCGAGGAGGGTTTTATCGGCCGAGGCGGATAACACCTCCGAGATCTTCATTATTCTTCAGATGATACGCAAGCCGAATTCGAGAATTGTTTTATCATTCATTCAAAATAATTCACCTCCGTCGATGTTAACTTCA